TTACTCCAGATCCAGTATTCACAATTTCAATAAACTTGTTAAAACTGCTTTGGTGTTTGGCTCTGTGAAACTCAATCCCCCATTCATTACAGATATATACATATTTGTTGTCAAAATACCTTTTAGTACATATGTTGTTAAAATAAAATGAACAGTCCAATGATCATTTTACTGCTATGTATAAAGACTGCAAAGGCTGAAAAATCTTGAAGTCTGTGTGAAATTGGAGGTAGTTTGAGGATGAATTTTTAATGCTTTTTAAGCTAAAAAAGGGGGGGTCGTATTATACATGAGATCGTATTATAAACGAATAAATATGGTACATATACAGTAAATATATACAGTACATGCCTGAAACATTACATTAATGCATCCAAAAAAATTTAATATTAATGTTTTAATATTCATTTTGAAAAACATTTTTTGTGAGGTCACCTCCCAATAAATATCATTTTAGAAAATCTAACTTCTCAGTTTTAATCAATATTTTTACTTTTAATACTGTAAGAAAATATGTATTCAATAGACTGAAGTCAATATGAAAACCACCATTATTAAATAAAATGATTTGTAGAAGGAATAAAACCATACAACACCAGAATTCTGGAACCGAGTGAGGTTTATTTCCACCGGAGCTGACAAGGAAACCACACTGCCGAAAAACCAGGAAGTACATCAATTTATACATGATTCTTCATTGCCTGCGTTCGCCCCGTACTGACCTATGACTGAATCACAGGCATTCATACAAAAATCTCATCTACTGTTATCATAACGTTTTAATTATGTGTTATAATTCGGGCATGTAACTAATCTATATCAATCAAAACATAATAGATTAAACATTGTCAACATTATAAAAAGGAAAACCTAAAAATATAGTAAATATAGCTTTTAACATCAGTGCTAACCTCTAATAACTATAAATTTCTTCAATACTTAAGTACATTTTATGTCAGAAATTTACTTTTAATACTTAAGTACAAAAAATATCAGATACTTTAAGACTTTAACTCAAGTCATATTCTTAGAGGAGACTAACTTTTACCAAAGTAATTTCCTGGTAAGATACTTGTACTTTTACTCAAGTATCACTTTGTGGTACTTTATATAACACTGGTCTTCCTATAAGAATTTACATTTTAATCCCCACCTCCAGTGAATTATTCTCTACACCAGGGGTGTCCAAACTTATTCCCTCAGAGGGCCAAAATGAAAATCTACCCAAAGGCTGCGGGCCAAATGCAATAATATAATAGAGGAAATGCTAATACTTCTTAAATGAAGTGCTTTTACTTTTTATGATTAAGCCAAGAGCCAGTGCAGTGGCCCATATTTTGTTTGTTTGTGTTTTTAATCTGTACACTTGCTCAGGCAGGAAAGGACATTTCACACATGGATAAAATATGAGTATTTGCAGTCTTCTAAAGTTTTCAAATCTACATGTGTGCTTAAATCTAATATAAATATCTTCTTTGGATTCTTGTATTTTATTCATAATCTTAATATAATTCAGTGACAAAGTCAGCTATCTGTGCCACAGTCCCTTATTTAGTCATTGGGCCATTGGATGTAATTACTGTACATGGAAATACAGAGTTTCTACAGAGGATGACAGGCAATTAAAAACTACTGGTGGGCCAAATCAAATGGCTTGGCGGGCCAATTTTGGCCCGCGGGCCCCACTTTGGGCACCTCTGCTCTACACAGAGGAGTGATGAGAAGTTCCTCTTTCTCTGAAACTTCTGAAACTCACACATCATGATTATTCCATCCAACTCTTATTGTAGAATAAATATTAATTTTTGTTACAGAAACATATACTGTTTGTTTTAACCTGTCATGCTCCTGTTTCACCCCTGAATCTCCACAGCTTCTCTGCGCTGCACCACGCTGCTCTGACCGGGACCACCGAGCTGCTGTCTCTGCTGCTGGAGGCCCAGGCCACAGTGGACATCAAAGACATCAACGGTACCAGAACCGCTTCAGCAGCTGACCCAGAGTCAGCAAACACACTCACAGCTTCACAGCTACAGGGAGGAAAAAACGAAAACATGAAAAGAAATTCTGCCTTAACAAATCATATGGGGATTAGGCTGATCCTGAAACTTCCTTATCAGCTTAGACACTCTGTTGAAAAGAAGTTTTACTTATAAAGAAAATGTGTTCTCTTTGAAGTTTTGGTCAGTTGCAGTGGTCGCACTTCTGCAGTACATTTTCTCCGACCTCAGCAATGACTAGAATGAAAGTCAGAGCTCAGTGAGCCCAGAGCCACAAACTGTCTGCTGGTTTTCACTTCAGCTGTAAACTGTTGAGGAACTTACTTCAAACGTTAATCTGAACTTTTAGCTTATCTGCTTGTTTCCCAGTTATGGAAAACAGACTATTAAATTCAGTTTATCTGCAGCATCCAGTGACAGAAGCCATCTCAGGGCAGTATACAAGAAAAACATTCAAATCAGAAATCCTGTTCAGTACAAAGATCCAGACTCAAATTACATTCACGTCAATTCCAGCTACAACAAAAAACATTCACAGACTGTACATAATGAAACATCCTTTAATAACAATAATTACAGTTAGTCAAATATACAGAAGCAAGCAAATCTGTTAGATCTTCGCTTTATTGTAGTTAGTCATCCTGAGCAGAAAGCTGGTGAGGAACAGGAAGAAACCTGCAGCAGAAAACAGAGTGAGGACATGTGGTCAGTTTTTCCTCCAGCAGTCTGAGCCTATAGCAGCAGAACTAAGGAATAACGCAGGAAACCAACCATAACTATAGGATTTATCAAAAAAGAAAGCTCTGCCTCCCATTCTACTTTTAGAAACTCGAGGAACCACAAGTAAACCTGCAGTCTGAGAGTGAAGTGCTCTGATCTTTAGTTCAGGGGTGGTTGTGAACAAAGCACCTGTACAGGTAAAGCTGGATGATAATTCTGTAATGATATATACAGTATATTGATACACATGTTCAATATCAGCAGAAAACATGTCTGATATAATATTGAAAATTTCACTGGTTATAAACTGCAAACTGTTGACAACTCCCTGAATAAACTAGCATCTTTCAGCTAAACAACACAGAGAAAGCTAAGATTTACTTTCAAAATAAAAGCTTTAAGAGGTTACTATGGGACAAATGCCAGTTTAAAAAGTAATCACTTGCACTTTATTTTTAAATGGTTTCTTTCTCCCTCTTGTCGGCACATTCCAGCGACAGAGCACTAGCTTGCTGGACCAGTCCACCATTATAGGTTAATATGAAAATAATTATTGATTTAGGATGCAGCTACACTGAAATGGGGCATCTAAAAACTGAAGAGGGTGTCAGTACGATTCCCCAACAGCTAAAAGCCTGCAGCCAAACAACTAGAAAGAAGCCTGTGGAGTAACTGGCAGTAGCAGTTCCACGTTTCTCCACTGTGCCTCATAACTGCTTATAAATAAAATAAAACAAGAAAATGAGTGCAAAAGGAAATTGTGGATAAATTGTGGAAATGTCACCGTCACCAATTTATCAGACCGATGTTGTCTAAAACTAATGATTGATATCGACCAGTGTGAAACTCTTATGTTGTGATATGTTTTATGACCTCATCGCCCAGCCCTATATACAGGTAAATCACTGTAAGGGAACTAAATGAAGTATTGCTACCAGGTTTCTGACTCTTCATTACTTCTTCAAATTCTCTAATCCGTATTCTGTATACCTCTGTCATATTTTTGGATTTAAGTTGTATTCATAGCAATGATCCTAATATCTCTGAAAACTGCATGTCCTTGGTGTTTTCCTCAGGGATGCGTCCGCTCCATTATGCAGCCTGGCAGGGTAAATCTGACTCGGTCTTACTGCTGCTGAGAGCCGGTGCTTCAGTCAACTCCCCTTCACTTGACGGACAGATCCCCTTACACCTGTCTGCACAGTATGGGCACTATGAGGTGGTGAGTGCAGACACACACAGAAACCACTGCTGCCATTTCTCTGAAGTTTAAGTTTGGTCTCAGCTGGTATCATCCAGCATCAGTACCATCATTATCCACAGAGTCCTCTGCTTTAATGTCGTTTGTTTGGCTGCTGGATTATTCTAAAGAATAAACAAACACCTCCAGCTGAAATGCAACCCACCTCTTTAGCAGAGCACCATTAAACACAACCCTGACAGGACTTCAGCAGGAGCAGCTATCATATGATCCTGCTCTTTGTGTGAAAACAAAACACCAGAACACATGTAGGGGATAACTGGCTGTGCATAATACATGAGATGGGATAGCTTGCAGCATGTTTCACTCTGTCTCTTTGGCTCTCAGTCCGAGATGCTGCTGCAGCACCAGTCCAACCCCTGCCTCATGAACAAGGCGAGGAAGACTCCGCTGGATTTGGCCTGTGAGTTCGGCAGACTGAAGGTACAATGAACATTCACAAGCCTTTTCCATAGCTTGGGAAATCAAGCCAATGATCAAAGTGTTGTACACTGACTGACAGAAACTGTTCAGCACACAGACTGAGAGGTATGGTTTGGACATAATTTCTCCCACATGCAGTCCAGTGATAGGTGTGGAGCAGGAATGTATAGAACAGGCACCAGAGGGTATTTTGGTAGCATCACCTGCGGAGCGACAGTTTTACTGGTTAATGCTGGAGCGTCAGCAGACACAGAGGGCAGTGTTACCAGTGCTTGTTGGAGTCTGATAGAGGTCACATTGCGGATTTACATGAGACTGAATGGTTGTATTGTTCTATTGCTTTGAATGTGGGCTGTTTAAATTTAACTCAGTGTTGGAACCACATGAGGATATGCTCAGATATTGTGAAAGTTCTGATTTACAAAGACAGACAGCAAAAATGCCAGTGTTAATTTCAACACCAACAAAATGTCTGTGTATGTGTCCACACTTGCTGGTGTTAAAATAAAATTTGTGAAAGTGTTAAATTTTAACACCCATTTTTTGCTAATTGAACACCAACCACTGTTTAATATTCAACAATATTGGGTGTCACATTAACATGAAAATGGTGTTAGTTTTAAAATAGAGTGTTAAAAGAAACACCAGCCAGTGATATTCAACAATACTGGGTGTCATTCACATTTCAACAGTGTTAAATATAGAGTTAAAAGTAACTCCAGTGTATTATTACTAACAAAGGAAATTGTGGTGTTTGAATGGTTAACAGACACCACAAGGTGTCAATACAACATAAAATTGAGAGTGTAAATTGAACACACACTGTAAGACGCAATAAGTGGACTTTACTTAAAAAATTTATGCAAACTCGTTGCCTCAAAAAATTCAAGTAATTTGAAATCGATAAAGTTAAGTAATTTAACTTGTACATTATAATTTTGTGCAACTCAGCTAATTTGATTGTTTTAAGTTTGTACAACTTAACTAATTTCATTATTTTAAGTTTGCACAACTCAACTAATTTGATTATTTTAAGTTTGTACAACTCAACTACTTTGATTGTTTTAAGTTTGTACAACTTTCTAATTTCATTATTTAAAGTTTGTACAACTCAACTAATTTGATTGTTTTAAGTTTGTACAACTCAACTAATTTGATTGTTTTAAGTTTGTACAACTCAACTAATTTGATTGTTTTAAGTTTGTACAAC